AAGTGGAACCGTTCAATGTGGCACGTGACACCATTACATATTCAAGCCATAATATTCATTCGTTTATTGTTTTCAAGTGCACTTTAACCAGTCGAATCCACGTTATTCAGATCATTAATTTTTGAGACATATTTGCCATTCTTCTCTCGGCTATATCTTCTTGTTCTTCGTATACTTTCACATTTGGCTTTACACCAACTATTTTTGGTTTTGATGAATACTGTCGTGGTGATAAAGACGCGTGTTATTACACCGTGTTGTATGGCTCCGTTGCTCCTGAGCGTTTTCTGGGGAACGACTATAGTAGGCAATGGCTCAGTGGCACTGGTGGTGCATCGATTCAACACTGAATAGGACGTCGATTGATTCCTGCAGACCTCAGGTGGTAGTGCAAGCAGAACGCATGCTCCTAGTAGCACCAATCATTCTTATTAACCCGAAAGCTTTATTTCACTTTTGGCATTTTTGTGTGCTTCAATGAGCCGGAACTGTGGTCAGCAGGTCTATTTCTGAATAAGATTTGTCGTTTTTCGTCCTGTAGTTTTTTCAACCGTGTGACTGTTACTGACTGACGATCGTAATTGAAATATTTAGAATTCTGAGGCTGCGGAATACGCTCCTAGATTTCACCATAAAAACCGCATTCACAATTTCCATGGAATATGGTCGTTTATTCAGTGATCATGGAGCTATTTCGACAGTCATTTTGCATGTCAAATGTTGAATATTGGATGGAATGATTTCTCAAAATTTTGCCTTCGAATTTTCATGCTTTTCGTTGACCATTTCTTGTTTCATCGCAGATCTCCATGGATAGCGAGATTGTTTTGGCTTGCCACAGGTGACACCCTACTTCATCAGATATCGTTCATTGTCAAGCAAGACGGTACATTTATGAGCCCAATATCTCGGACTCGTCTTTTTCGTCTTTTCAAAGGATTCGTCTTTTTCTCTCGCTTCGCTCTTGTACAACTTGGAGACAGTTGTTCTAACGAAGGACCAAGAATTATGCTTCATCGCAAAATGAGGTTAAATGCCAGGACCATGTAAAGAACAGCTCACCTTTCCTCCAGGAACAGGTTACCTCATGAGGCAACCAAAACACCGCTCACTTCGATCCAAATACCAGCGTGCAACGTAGGGAAAAAACTGCCGTTGGAGTGTGATATTCTTTTCTACGGTACAGTAACCCACGTCAGAAAAGTGTCGAAATGCTCAGAACGCCATGGACATCACCAATCCCAGATTGCCTGCTACACAAACTGCTCAAAGTGACCATCACGAGCAATACAATCAGACATCATTTGCCGATGCAAACTGAGATGTTGCTTAACGAATTGCCAGACACCATTTGCTGCACGCAAGCGTCAGCTTCTGTTTCGCAGAGTAGTTCAAATGATCGCTTTTGAAATTATGACTAACTGAGTGAGATTAAGCAACATCGTGCATTTCTGCCGTCGTATTATCGATCGCGCTTGCCTCGCAATGTACTCACCGTATTGTCTTACCGCATTTCAAGGTTTTTCGTGTTATTTGACCTCTGCGAGGCAGCAAATGTTTCAGCACTCATCACTTGTTCCAAACATGTGGCGAGCGTGCAGCGACCTCACCGCAGACAGTGGACGGGTGCATTAGCGTATTGTCGAACGCGAGGCTCTTCCTCTCATTCCTCCCACCAAGCCCCACAGCGGAATAGTCGTACTCTGCTTCAGTGAAGAGTGTCATGACTCTTTGTCACTCGTCGTATAGGTTTATGAACTCGTCGCAATCTGTCGAATTGGCCGACGAACGCGAAGGCTATCGTAAGCGTCCATTCCGGTTTCACCCGGTGATTTGACAGCAATGCGCGTGAATCCGCTTCTGTGTCCGTCCGTCTGTCGCTAGCTGCCGCCCATCGGAACTTTTCGACCACGTTCTAAAACACACTTACAGACGAGTAAGTGATGAGGCATTTTCTGGCCAGGTTCCGTTGTAGAGGCACCTGATATGTCTTTGATCAGCAGATCACACAGCCGTGACTAGCATGCAGCAGCCATTGGAGGGCAGAGGCCAGTAAAAGGTAAATCGTAATTTCTGTTTAAAAACTGTACAGCCCATATATCAACTGAACGACTAGAGTTATTAAAATTTAATAAAGATTTTTCACCTTAACACTGGTCCATAAGATTAGCTAAGGTCGTACACCGCATTTCGAAATACTTTAAATTGCGGATCACATATTCTCCTGGTCGACAGATCACAGTTGTAATAGCGTGATCATGTGATGAGGATGTCATCCACATGAGAGAGCCCAAAGCCGGCTTTCTTGGCCAAGC